TCACAATGGTCCTAGCATACTATGCCTCACAGGCCACTAAAGCCAACTCTGTAAGCCTACTCCCACAAATATAGTATGAATCCATACTGCAGCTACTGAATATAACCTATACTCAGTACTCAGTTTGCTTTAGCCTGGGTTTCTCCTCGACTCTCACACCACCTGTTTAGTCATTTCTTTAAGAATGACAAAAGTTTTCAAGATAAAGAAATAAAGAAATACAACATAGAGGTGTTTGGGTTAATGTTTATTTTTATATATTTTGTAGCTTATTTTTTGCCTTTTCACTTGACAGTCACTCCCAACCACATCAGGCTTCACACAGAGCCAAAAGACAAGAGGAGAGAATCCAGCCAGCCTCCAGACAGTCTGAGTCAGTCTGCCCAATCATTATGAGCAGTAGGTAGAAGCACTAGAGGCTGTAGTCAACCGTAAAGAAGAAAATAGTCTAAATAAAGCTTGATGGACACAGTCTGAGAGCAACAGAATCTCCATTATTTCCCTTTTTCATTATTCTCACAAACCTTTCCGCCTTTGTTGCATTTGAGGAAAAGGATTGGGAGTTTTTCAGGGTTTTAAAGCCAATTCGAACAGGAGCAAAGTTTCAAGTTTCAAGTTTTAATGTCACACGCACAAGTACAGTGAAATGCCTTTCTTGCAAGCGTTAAACCCAACAATGCAGTGATCAATATCAATGTAGTACAACAAAAATTACATAAGGTAGAACAAAAACACATGAGAAATAAAAATAAGAAATAAGAAAAACACAAGAAAGCAAGAAGCTATATACAGGGTCAGTTCCAATATCATAAAGAGCCCAGGGCAGATGAGTCGAAGTTGAAGCCGGAATTGGGGTAAGTAACTGCTGATCTGATGTTCAAAAGTTATTGTTGGTTATAAGAAATTATAGCGAATACATTTAGAGAAAATAAAGTAAAAATAAACACCAAAATAATCACAAAATAGCAAAGTTGGGTCAGAGCTCGCAAACGAAGGCCTTCCAGTACGGCGCCATCTTAGACCAAAGATTGTGATTGATTGAAAATATGCTCTTAATATTCCTAGCATCATAGAGCTCTTTCTCTCTCTCTTTGCCTCCCTCCTTCTCTCTCTGACCCTTTGGACAGGCCATTGGAGACTGATCGCCATGACTCCATTAGGCTGACTGCTTCTGGCAGCCTAAATAATGGAAGGTTACCTTGGACATTTATGACTCAGCACGTTCTGTTTTCAATCAAGCCTTGTGTTTATTGGATTAATATGCATCCTGTCTATCTGTGCAGGCCTGGTAGTGAAAGAGAGTCAGTAGAACTGTTGCAGGGCAGGTAGGTTTCAGTAGAGACAACCAACACCCAGGGACTCTGAGTTACGTAAGCCTATGCCTGCCTGTTCAGTTACTGAGCAGCCTGGCATCTACTTTACATACTGGAGGTGAGACAGGGTGGCAGTCACACTAAGTGCTGAGGGTGGATAGGGGAAATGTATGCAAGAATGGGGAAATTGAAGATGGATGTTGTCCGTTGACCAGCACACCTTGTGCTTAAGGCAATAAGCTTGTAGAAACCATTGCTGCTGCTTCTCTGCTTCCTCTTTAGTCCCTCAATGGCTTTTGGGTAGCTTCCTCACAGAGTGGAATTTAAAGGTGTTTGATAACCATTTGTCCAACGGGGCCAGAAAGGCAGAAAGGCCCAAATTCAAGTGTAATCCTTCCACTGTCTATGAAAAAAAAAAAATCTATGAACTCATCCTCAAATCTGTCAAATCTCTGCAATATCACATAGGTTGTGAATAAGTCCGCATTCAGTGGACAGATACCCCCTTGAAGCAAAGACAAATCTATAGAGAAATGAGTCAAGATTCAAGGCAAAAGAGAGTAAGGTATATCATAAGTATCCTCCCTTGTCTGTTCACTCATAGCCAATGGGGTTCTAGAGTTACAGGGCTTGTGAGGGGATATTCCAGACCTGTAACTTATCTGTATGTGAGGCCACTGTAAACAATCACCCTGATGCATAGCCTACAGACCATTGTCCCTCTAACAATCAAGCACATCCAAACCCGATGAATTCATAGGGACTTTATTTCATGAAAATAATTTCATTTATTTCCCTGAGCCTCCTTTTGCCATTGAAATGCTGTCTGATTGTGTGGGCGTGTTGATACAAATTTAAATATATTTACATACACAGCCCTGATTGGCAGATAGGATCATCTAGACTCTAAAGTCTACCCTTCAAAGTAGGAGAATACATATGCAAATAAAAAAGGACTGGTCATTGGTCAGAATAATCAGATCAGATTGTGATGTCATGCTGTGGGCCAAAAACTCCATCTCACCTGAACAGGCTGAAATTCCAGGCATTTTTTCCACAAGCTCTCACACTAAAAGGGCATTATCATCATTTTCACAATTTCAGAGTGTTATTTCGACCTCATAATGTGGAAATATCTTCCTTTTTTTTTTTTTCTAGCTCTGACTTTGCTGATAGCTACTTTATTGAGGAAAAATGTAAGTGTACTTACTCTGAATGTGAGATGTGGTTGTCCCACCTAGCTATCTTAAAATGAATGCACTAACTGTAAGTCGCTCTGGATATGAGCGTCTGCTAAATGGCTCAAATGTAAATGTAAAAAAAAAAGGGAAATCATGTTTTTGACTGCACTGCCCTTTTAAAGTCAACAAAATCACAGGTTTTATGATGAACGGACATGGCTTTGATGCTCTGTTTTCCACTGTAGAGCTGTTCCCATGACACTGTGTGAGAGCATTCAGGGCCCTCCTGAGAGACTGTGAGCCTTTCAGTCCAGCTAATGCATCCTGCCAATTATCTGACAATAAAACCACAGGGCAGACAGACTCGACGGAGACAAACACAATGGCTTCTGAAAGTGGTAGCAATGGAAAACTAATTCGGATTATATTTCTGAGTACACAGTGAGGGAATTAGTTTTGAAGATAAGCTTCAGATAGATAGAATATCAGTTGATCTCTGACCTCATGGAAAGAACATATGATCAATATAAATCACAGGATGAGGCCTGATTTTGAAAAAGGATTATCCCGATTACACCACCTATTCAGCTGGTCTCGGGTGAAATATTTATCAATAGCATATCCAGCTGTGGACATCTGCTATCAGAATGCATCTAGATGTAGGATTTGAGTAGACAGGTGGATCTCCCATGTGACCTAGAGATGTGACCCCAGAGATGAGAGGAAGCTAGGGCACTGAGCCCTCCATGCCCATCGGCAGACCTCTTCTGCAAATGTGATGCTATTTTTATAAACCAAGCCACACAGTATTACGCAATCACTGCAAATTATGACGCAGATGTCTTCTTTTCACCTACGGGCTACAATGTGTCATGGCTGGGAAACAACATTAACACAAGGGTTGCCGAGGACCAAGCCAGTTGATCATCCAAAGAATAACAATTATCACCATCAAGATTCAGGGACATTTCCCCATGGGTGAAATTAAATACGGGGTTAAAGGCAAATTTATATTTGATATACTCTGGCCTATGTAAAAAATATTTAATAAAACTGGGTCCATGCTGTCTGTGTGCCCTATCACCAACATAATGTGTTCTGTGCAGTGAAAATATTATTAAATCCATCATTGCTATAGTGAGCACTAAGCAGAGGTCATCTGGTCAAGGTTGGATGGCTGACCACACACAATATGAAAGTTTAGGAGATGAAAGGGGTATCAAGAGGAGAAAATAGGAATATCTCGGTCACTAACATGAGTGGGTGCCACGCCCGCCTCTGGCCTCCCTGATGCTGCTACAACTTGTGAAAGCGGGCAGGAATGGAGGATAACCATGGCAATGGTGACGTCTTCTCCCTTGCTCTAATTGGAGGAAACCCCGTGGCCCCAGCCGCAGCCTACACGCCAGTCGAACATATTTCTGAACTCCCTCCCCCTTTCCCCGCGCAAAATAGCTACTGGCTAATATCTCTAGAAATCATTGTTGACGGGAAGAAAAGTAGATTTCTGATTGGAGGATCATTCTCACATAGAGCCGCCCCATCTAGCAAGGCTGGTTGAATTTCACGACTGCTGTTTTTCCGCTCTGCCTCTTACCAATCTCAAAGCGGATCAATTCGGAGGAAGAAATCGGCACCTTAGAAGGTTAGAACGTTCAGAAATCAGTTTTAAATATTTTTCGTTTGCTATTTGTAAATTATTTTCTGTTGTAGCAAAGCTTATGACATGGTAATATTATTTTGTAGCAATCCATTCTCAATGAAAGGAGTGGCCCACTATAGTAGCTAGTTACAGTAGCTTTTAGCTACACTAACGTCAAATGTTTGTCAGCTAAAGTTAATTATCTGGCTAGTTGTTGGCTAATATGCTCCGCTGGCTTGTCTGGCCGAAGCAAGACCGATGCATCGTTTTTGTGGTAAATAAATGTCCACCTAACAGGGATGTAGTTTGTTAACTGATTATCTCTAGTAGTAACGTAAGACTAACTTACGTTAGTCAGCAACTGTGACCACTGGCTAACGTTAGCTTAATCACCAGCCTAGCTATGATAACTTTCTAGTTATCAATAAACTAACCATATAGTTAAGTACATCGAGTCTTTCTGCGTTAGCTAGTTACTCTTACACTAGAAAACTATCCATCGAATTTGAAAGACACAACGTCCACGCACGCACGACGCTCACTCACAATCCGAATGTTGCCAGCGCGTGTAACCTCTGCGAGCTGGATTACTACTGTATCTGGTTATTTTCTATAGGCTGCAGTGTATAATATGTTGGTTCTAGGTACAGTACATTCTGGTCACATTCTGTCTTCCATAATAAAATGACTTAGTGACAAACGTTCCGTTTTACATTTGCAGGTTTTTGGTGGAATACTCCGCAGCATCCCCTACTCTATCGTTTTGCTCCATCTTCAAGTCGCTCTTGCATTCCTGGACTCCTATTGTTTTTAACCCGTCCCTGACGAATCAAGCTAAGGTTACACACTAAAGAATAAAAAACAATGGATAAAGCGGAGCTTATTCAGAAGGCCAAGTTGGCGGAGCAAGCCGAGCGCTACGATGACATGGCCGCCTCGATGAAGGAGGTAACGGAACAGGGGGGCGAGCTGTCAAACGAGGAGAGGAACCTGCTATCTGTCGCATACAAGAACGTGGTCGGAGCACGGCGGTCGGCATGGAGGGTCATCTCCAGCATCGGACAGAAGACGGAGGGAAGCGACAAGAAGCTCGCAATGGTCAACGAATACCGGGAGAAGGTGGAGGGCGAGCTGAGGGATATCTGCAACGACGTTCTGGTATGTAGTAACGTTACTAGTAGAGATTAATTATTCTGGAAATGTTGAGTGCAAAAAATGGGCGTGGGTTTTAATGTATGGTAGCCTAAGACATGGTTTTCCAAACTCTGTCATGGGCCCCCCCAGGTTTTTGCCCTAGCACTATACAGCTGATTCAGATAATCAAAGCTTGATGATGAGTTTGTTATTTGAATCAGCTGTGTAGTGCCCACATGATGGGACATCGTTCGGATGGGACATTGTTAAATGGATGTCCGGACTCTCTGTGGTCACTAAATTCCCATGGCTCTTATCTTAAGAGTAGGGGTGTTAACCTCGGTGTTCTGGCTAAATTCCTAGTCTGGCCCTCATACCATCATGGCCACCTAATCATCCCCAGCTTCCAATTGGCTCATTCATCCTCCTCTCTCCTGTAACTATTCCCCAGGTCGATGCTGTACATGGAAATGTGTTCTCAGTCAACTTACCTGGTAAAATAAAGGTTTAAAAAAAGACAAAACGTGCACCTAGTTTGGGGAACCCTGGCCTGGGATACTGAATACACCTGTCTCTCCCTCTCACAGCTTGCTACTGGGAAAGTGTGGTCACTGGTCAGACAATTGGTCAGATTCATATTGTATCAATATATGGTCAATTTATTTGGATGTAAAGTATTTACATGGATTACAAACATATAGCTAATCTCCAATAAAATGTCAGTAATTCTAGTCCATATTGTAGGGAGTTGGATTAGTCATGTCTCTCTAGGTCTGGGAAGTGTTTGGTAGTTGGTCTTCCGACTGCACACCACCTGCCTCCACCTGAGGCATATTTGAGTGCATCAATGCAAAGCACGAGGCATCAGTAACTCACCCAGCCCTAGTGCTGCAGGAATCTTGTCTCTATGCTGTCTGGATAAATGTGCCTTTTAGAAAAGGGAGTCTTTTTAAATTAGGAGCAAGCAATGCCTTCTCTGAACAGTCAACACTATACATCCGGTATGATAAAAGATGTCAGTTTCTTCACAAAAGCATAGCTATTCAACCTTTTCCTCTCTCACGTTTGACCAGTCTACCATGATTGAGTTTAATTCTGTCTCTATTCAGGTAGAATTGCACATGTAGGCAATTTTTTTCTGTTGACTTTTCAATTCCTGAATGGAATTTACCCCAACTCTGGTCTCACTCTCAACAGTGAGTGCTTCCAAGTTCCAACCATGAATTTATTTAGAAACCTTTAGCACACCTCCCATTTCTATTACAGTAAAACAGAGACTAACATTAGATTGTTTCAATGCAATGTGGGTCAAATGTCATGGCCCACGAGTTCCTCCGGTCTAAAAAGGGGATCTCCCCTGGCCCCGTGATGAGAAAGAAGTATTGTATTTTCACCCCCTTACCCCGGTTCCTTCCTGTTGGGATTCTGTCACACTGAACAATGGGGTTTAACCACGTGACTTCGCATACTGACAAAGGTCACAGTGTGTCTGCAAAGCAAGGTGTGTCAGAATCAGTGGGGTAGGCTCTGGCAGAGCACCAGTGGTGACTGTTCGAGAGCCATGCTGGTACAGGCCTGAAACGGGGAGTGTGTCCTCCTGTTTTGATATTCAGTCTCATCTGACACATGAGTTGTAATTAAGCTAGCCAAGTGAAAAAGTTCATAGCCAGTTTGCTCAATAGGCTACGTCTCTCAACCCCACTAACCTAGCTAGCTACCCATTTGATGCTCCGAATTGCTATGGCGCTCTGTGATTGATTAAACCTGAAACATGCAGGAAAATATTATTTTTTTATTCCCTTTCAGTAAAATTACTTGACTTTCATTGACTGGACTTTCTACTAAATACGTTCTACATCTGTTATTTTGTTTCCTTTGGGGCAATTGTTTTCACTTAAATACAAGGATTTAGAAGTGAATGGCTCTGCCCATTATTTCTCTCTGGTCTTGATGGTAGATTAAGTGAGGGTCTCTGTGGTGGTTTAGCTGTGAGATTGAACATTTCCCTGATCTGCTGGCCTTAGACACAAGGAGGTCTGGGATGAGGGCGCTTGGGGTGGGTGGGCAGCATTTGTAAGCACACTGGCGCACAATCCAGCAGTGATCTATACATATTAGAGGTGAATAATGGCTATGACAGTGAAAGGTCATACGTCTCTACTGATTATTATTTTATTTTTTTATGAAGGCAGCAGAGTGACGATGGATAAATTGTTTGCTAGAACGTCTAGCCAGGGAGATTCAAAACATGAAACTGCATTCCATTGCCAATGCCATTCTAATTGGGAAAGGGAAAGGGCGATACCTAGTCATTTGGACAACTGAATGTATTCAACTGAAATGTGTCTTCCGCATTTAACCCAACCCCTCTGAATCAGAGGTGCGGAGGGCTTCCTTAATCGACATCCACGTCTTCGGCGCCCGGGGAACAGTGGGTTAACTGCCTTGCTCAGGGGCAGAACGACAGATTTTTACCTTGTCAGCTTGGGGATTCGATCCAGCAACCTTTCGGTTACTGGCCCAACGCTCCTACCCGCCAGGCTACCTGCTGGGTTGATGTCATTTACATTGGCTTGCGAAAGTATTCACCCCCTTGGCATTTTTCCTATTTTGTTGCCTTACAACCTGGAATTAAAATTGATTTTTGGGGGGGTTTGTTTCATTTGATTTACACAACATGCCTACCACTTTGAAGATGCAAAATATTTTTGGGGGTGAAACAAACAAGAAATAAGACAAGAAAATCAAACTTGAGCGTGCATAACTATTAAACCCCCCCCCCCCCCCCCCCCCAAGTCAATACTTTGTAGAGCCACCTTTTGCAGCAATTACAGCTGCAAGTCTCTTGGGGTATGTCTCTATAAGCTTGGCACATCTTGCCACTGGGATTTTTGTCCGTTCTTCAAGGCAAAACTGCTCCAGCTCCTTCAAGTTGGATGGGTTCCGCTGGTGTACAGCAATCTTTAAGTCATACCACAGATTCTCAATTGGATTGAGGTCTGGGCTTTGACTAGGCCATTCCAAGACATTTAAATGTTTCCCCTTAAACCACTCAAGTGTTGCTTTAGCAGTATGCTTAGGGTTTATTGTCCTGCTGGAAGGTGAACCTCCATCCCAGTCTCAAATCTCTGGAAGATTGAAACAGGTTTCCCTCAAGAATTTCCCTGTATTTATACACTCTGTGGAGTGTACGGCTTAAAGTGGTCCTATGGACAGATACTCCAATCTCCGCTGTGGAGCTTTGCAGCTCCTTCAGGGTTATCTTTGGTCTCTTTGTTGCCTCTGATTAATGCCCTCCTTGCCTGGTCCGTGAGCTTTGGTGGGCGGCCCTCTCTTGGCAGGTTTGTTGTGGGGCCATTCGTTAATTTTTTTTATAATGGATTTAATGGTGCTCCATGGGATGTTGAAAGTGTCAGATATTTTTTTTATAACCCAACCATAATCTGTACTTGTCCACAGCTTTGTCCCTGACCTGTTTGGAGAGCTCCTTGGTCTTCATGGTGCCGCTTGCTTAGTGGTGTTGCGGACTCTGGGGCCTTTCCGAACAGGTGTATATATATACTGAGATCATGTAACAGATCATGTGACACTTAGATTGCATACAGGTGGACTTTATTTAACTAATTATGTGACTTCTGAAGGTAATTGGTTGCACCAGATCTTATTTAGGGGCTTCATAGCAAAGGGGGTGAATACATATGCACGCAACCACTTTTCCGTTATTTTTTTTCACTTCACCAATTTGGACCATTTTGTATGTCCATTACATGAAATCCAAATAAAATTATATTTAAATTACAGGTTGTAATGCAACAAAATAGGAAAAACGCCAAGGGGGATGAATACTTTTGCAAGGCACTGTACTTTGACCAATATGAATGGACACCAACAGATTGAGTGCCATAAATGCATAGTGGTTCTCTATATATGGGAGCAAGCAGACAATGGCTAGTTGTATGTAGCTAGGCAAAACTGACAAACAGGTAACTGTAGGATATGGTTGGTTTACCTCAGGTTGATTTACTGCCCTCTCCTTTCCTGTATGAGACATGTTGTAAACTGTACAGATGGCCATGCTTTCAGACCACACCTTACAGCTACCCCACTTCTTTGCACACGCCACTGCCGTGTGTGTGGCTCTGACTCAGCCACCTGCCGGTGTTGACTGAGGGCGTGGTGGAGTCAGCCTAGAAGGGTGTGTATCACGCTGCTTGCCCCAACTCATCCCCTCTGCTCAGCTACTGGTGCAAGTAACCACTGGGATGGGCGTCCTCAGTCTCCTTTCAGCTGACAGGCTTGGTCTGCACTGGGCTGAAGTGAGCCTGGTGGCAGAGACAGGACTGGATAACGTGATTCTCACTTTCCACTAAGGCAACGTCATGCCAGACTGGACAGGGTGGAACCCCTCTGCTCTGCTGCCCACAGCCATGCAGACACTGTGCTGCCCTCTGCTGTGGCCTTACCCACTCTGCCTGCATTGTGTTGGCCTAGACCAGGGTTAGGGCTGGGCGATATGTTTTTGCGCAATATTCCAAATGCCTATATTGTAAGAATCAGTTATTTTATAAAAAACAAATTGTGTTTGTCCACTTGTTCTCATGTTGTCTTTTTGGTCTTGTCTCCTTCGCTCCTTCTGTGCTGTGCACCTTCCCATTTACACCAGAGATCTGTATATAATGTCTCCGCCCTAAAAATGGGAGTTGTTGTCCCAAAGGCGGGAAGGCAGGCGACAAGCTTAGATCCAAAATAAGCCCATAGAAACGCATTGGGCTTCGGCTCTTCCCTCTGTTTACACACACCAAGCCCCTCTCCCTGCCACTCACACAACGACGAGAGCACTTCTTCCTCTCTGACAAGGGGTTTCAACTCACTATTTGCATTTGAGGTTTGGTCCAACAGAATCGGTCATATGGACTAACACATTGAGACATTCTTTTACAGTAATAGAGAAGTTAACCTTTCTAACAATACCATTTTTATGTCTCAACTGCTCAAATTGCGTGCATAGCAGGCACTACTAAAATGGGAGTATCAATGAACATTGATTCTGGAAAATGAATGCTCAGTTTGTCGCGCTGCGTTATACTAGCGGTCTAGTCTGTTTTATAAATGTGCAATAAGCATAAAACAATTATATAATGAATTGGCAACTCGTTCTCATTCTGAGAAATAAGGTAGTCTACTTGATTTCAACATCTGAAGCAAGTGGACAGGCTAGCATGCTGTTCAAACAGTTGAAGACTGACAGAAGGGTGTGTTCATAACAATTCAACTGTTCTGCCTTGTTAGCTAGCATATAGATCCATGTTTGCTCAACTTGAAATGTATAAAGATTCCTGTAAAGATTAGCTGGATACTCACTAGCACGTGTGCTTGTGCTTGAGAGATTGTTTGAGACCTGTGTTAATTCTCTATAATGCCTCCAAGAAGTTAGTCATTAGTGAATATGCATGGTTCTGGTTAAATTTGTAACAAATGCATTTTCATAGACCGACTTGAAAGCCAGATCAGTGATTATTGCAAAAAAGCTGGTAAAATTATTTTGATAAAATGGCTTATGGTTATGGTTTAGCCTAGGTATAATTTCACGTGCCCTGAATTCATTTGATTATTGCTGACTGTTTCAAATGCAGTGTATTTTACCTTTAATTGTACAACAAAGCTAATTTAGAGAACATAAAAATATATATAGTGACTCACCCATAAGTTTGAAATAATAGTGATATGATTTTTAGGCCATATTGCCCAGCCCTGACCAGGCTTTCCGTTAGCTGGTAATAGCCCAGCCCTGACCAGGCTTTCCGTTAGCTGGTAATAGCCCAGCCCTGACCAGGCTTTCCGTTAGCTGGTAATAGCCGGCTTTTGGACAAAAAAATGAAAGCTGATAAATAAAATTGCCGCCGGACGGGAGAAGAAAAAAATCCCATTGCAAAATAATGCTTTAGGCTATTCATCGATGGAAATACATTAGACCAGTCATGCTTATCGGTCTATAGGTTAATTTGCATAATTTAGTGAAATTAACTTGCTTGTGCATATTTTCGTTAGTCATTATGATTATTTATCACACGCTCACAGCAGACAGCTACAGCGCCTAGTTTGAGCGGAAAATCTGTCAGACAGCGTG